TGGGAAGCCCTCTATTTATAAGATTTTGGGGGAGGGACCTAGATAGAATTACAAAAGGAGACATAAACTTAACCTAAACCTAAAGGATAGAGTCCCCATAGTACAAATATTGTTAAATTCATTCTAGTCCACCAAAAATACCTCTAAAGGTGTGGAGAATATAAAAAAAAAGGTGTGCTTCCTTTTGAGGTCCCAAGCCTACCAATCCCGCATCCTAAGTTTCTTCCTCTCCAAAAGGTGGTGTAGGACATGAAAAAAGAGTGTCCTACACCTTTGGGCAGCCCATGCAACCATCCTATATATTCAAGTCTTCTTTTCCACCAAAAAGAGGTGGTGGTCTTCAAAAAGGAGGTGTATCAAGTGGTCATACAAAAAAATGCAAAAATGAGTCTCTAAAATTTAAGAAAATAAATGCTAAGAAATTCAAAGTGGAAGTTGAGAAAAAGGTCTCCCTTTTAATCATGCTCTTAGTGATCTCCAAGGGATGACCTCTCCGGTCTTTGGAGCATCTAGGGACTCATCAAAATTCAATGCTATCCTTCATGCCTCGATAACTTTCTCAAATGACATTTACAAATTAATATTTAACACCAATGATCCAAATTAAAATGATAATGTGGTTATTACCGTCACCATAGTCAACTAAGGGTAAAACCCTCACTAATTAGGGGAGTGTGGCAACTGTTGTATATTGATCAACATTTTTAAAACTTGGCTTACTAAACAATTTAATTCATCCATACCCCTATCCACTACTTGGTTTTGTAAGCAAACAAATACACACACAAGGATACATCGATCTCAATACTCCCTTTGGAGAGTATAAACAAAGCAAAAGTGTCTTAGTTCGATACATGCTAGTGGAAATTGATACCTTGTACAACCCACTCATTGGAAAACGAACTTTCAACGAAGTAGTGAAGCAAATCTCAATCATTGTTAAACTTTCCTTTTGTTACAATGCCTTAATGGCAAGCTAACTACACTAGCTTGTTTTCTACCTAAATTAGTTAAAAGAGGCCAGTCCTTTTTCAACACGAGGGTCTCAAAAGTTTGAATGGAATAGAAAGCATGAAGACATTTTTCAACTAATAAAAGAATATATTGAATCATTACTCATGCTTGTGAGTCTCTCACATGGTCTACACTCTTATTATATCTTGCCATAACTAAATCGACTATTAGCTTGATATTCATATGCGCTAAGGATTAAAAAGAAAATTCAATTCACCAGCTGCACTTTATAGATAATTGAATGCTCGATAATCACAAAACTAGTTTTGGCCCTTATAAGGTCATCCCTACGTCTTTATTAGGATTGTCAAAATGAACTGTGCGACCTAATATGCAACGTAAATTTGCTCTTTTTTTAAAAAAAATTGGGTTTATTTTGTCTTACAAACAAAACCTGCAAATATATATTATAACCAAACAGTCCAGAGGTTCAGGTTTCTTTAGCTATGTAATTAAAAAATATAATATTATATATAATTCAAACTACATAATAAAACAATATAATACAAACAATAACCTACAAACTAAAATCTATTACAAACTAAAAGTTAGTACAAACTAAGCTACCTAAACTACATAATACACATAATATAATATGAACAATAACCTAAAAAATTAAGTACTAGAATTATTAAATGAAAAACCTTGCCCATTGTTCTCTAATTTGTGTGATATCATATTCTGGCAATGGAGATGGATCTTGAAATACCTGAAACATTAATTTGACTCTTGTAAACATGCAACACACATAAAGTTAAATAAACTAAACTAATGTTGAAAACAATTACCTCCGTCCAAGAATCAGTTATACCCGCACAAACTATGACTATCATCCAATACATAACATAGTAACCACATTCAAATGAGTCTGTTTGCTTATTACACTGAAATGATGAATAAAATATAATGTTATTTTAAAAATTTAAATACAAACAATAATTATGGTATTCACTTATTATTATAAGTTTCTAACCTTAGGATAAATGAATTGCAAAGTCTTTGTTCTAAGTTTTCCACTTAGAACATTAGTTCTATACACGATTCTAAATGAAAAAAAGTCATATATTATTCAATACATTTTCCATTTTCACTAGCAAATTTCAAAAATTTATCAACTCCCTTTTCGTACTCTTCACTAATACGACGTGCATTCATCCAACTTCGATTCATATTATGTTATAAAGTTTCGTCATTCCTAGAGATTCAAAATTTATATTTAAAAATAAATTAATATACAAACAACAAAACACGTAAATGGAGTGTGTAAACCGAAAATGCACTCAAACAAAATAATGACATTCCAATAACAATCCAGTGGAGACCTTCATACAATGACGTGATTGAGATCCCCAAAAATAATCACGGATTTAATTTGAACATATATCAGGAGACATAGAACACTAACCTCGAGTAAACACGAAAACTATTTCAAACTCGAATCCAATCGGGGAGAAATGCCAAATTCGTAAAATGAGACACAATGTTGATGTTCTTCACTGCCAAAATGATCAAAAATGGTGTGGAAAGGTAGCTGTCGTCGTCGTTCTCATCGTCATTCTCAAAAACCCTTGCGGTGCGAGATGTGGGAGTGGGTCAGAATAAAAAGCAGTTTTTACGTCACACACCCTAGCACTTGACGTAAAATATGGCTTTTTACGTCGCGGACCCCCCACGTGACGTAAAAAGTATCACTTTTTATGTCGCGCACACCTCACGCGACGTAAAAAGCCCTCTTTTACGTCATGCTGTACCAGGTGCGACGTAAAAGAGGTTTTTTACGTCACCTCCTACAATATGCGACGTAAAAGTTTCACCTCTTATTTACAAAATTGGCACCGCATTTTATTTACGTCGAATATTTGGACATGCGATGATAATTGGGTGACGTAAAATGTCATTTCTGCACTAGTGATTAGATTCTAGAATAAGTGGATAATAGAGATTTACTTTTATATTTACTCTTAGACTAAATTAATTCCTTATCAAATTAATTTATAATACATATATATTTTTTAATAAAATAATAATAATTTTATTTTTTAAAAATAATTATTATTCTATAAAACGGGTTGATGTATAAGTATACAAGCTAATCTAATCTAAGTTCATGCAAGCCATGACCTAAATGAGTCAGGTTAAAATAAACCTGATTCAATTTAGACCACAATTTTTTTGGTTTAACTTACCTATTTCTTTAACTTTTTGACCGGTTTATTGGACTAAGTTTATTTTAACACCCCTAATCTCCCCTCATATTTTCAAAGCCATTAGGTAATAGTTAAAATCAATTACCCATCAAGCATATGCTTTCAAAACTGAAACTTGTTCAGAAAATGATAATGTGGTTAGTAAAGTTATTCGAATTTGATTTACATGATGAAACCTAAGGATCAATGAAGGAACAATTCCTTACTTTCCCTCCTTGAATTAGCTTATCTCATTCACAAACATGATGGGTGGATTTTAATAGTGGATGACTCATCAAATAAAAAAGGTAATGGAGTAAAAATAATTTTGGAAGGATCCAATAAAGTAATTTTGAAACAAACATTACAATTTGACTTTTCCACATTTAACAATGAAGTTGATTATAAGACACTAATAATAGGATTAAAATTGACAAATGACATGGGGATCCCTTATAAAAAAAACTATCATATTACTTGTAAAATAATTGATAAGTTTGAAAAGTTAATTTACAACATGTCCCTTGAAAATAGAATGACAAAGTTCACATCTTCTTAAAGTTGGCAAACACGAAAACGATAAGGTAACTTCTTATACTTATTAAAAAAAAAAAAAAACACACCAACCTAAGACAACAACAAAATATATAACATTAATACAATTATACCAAATTGGATGACACTAATAATTCAATATCTATCATTTAAAACCTTACATATAAATAAATTAAAGGACATCGAAAAGTCTTATTGGTCATATTCTTGTTTAGATGAAAATATTTTGACCTAATTTATAAGTAGGAACCACAAAAGAGATTCGTCCACCCTACCTCTAGCTTGCAAAAAAAAAAAATGATTCATCATAATTAAGACAAGTAACATATTCCAGTCTATAAAAAAAATTATATAAATTTTTTTTATATGTATTATTTTAAAAAATATATCTTTAATTATATAAATAATTTTTATGTTTTTATTTATTAATTAATATTTTTATTAGATAAATTAAAAAATTATATTTATATATCAAAATAACTAATTAAAATCAATAATTTAAATTTAATTAATTAATTTTTATAATTTAAATTATAATATTAGAATATATTTACATATTTCAATATATTCACAAGTTTCACATAAGTATAAAATAAAGATTAAAAATCATTTATATAAACCCTCTTTTGTTAATTCATCAATAACAAAAGACAATCATTATATAATTAGGTTCAAGCTTCCAAGAAATACTTTGAACATCGTGATTTATCCCTAAGAACGCTATCGTAGAAAACTGGAGGTTGGAAGAAATATAAATTATATCTTCAATTAAAGAAAAATAAACAGTTTATGCTATTACAAACTTAGAGATAAAAGTTTTTGCTTTTAAAATAATAAAAATCATACCAACTCAAAAAGATAAACATCCAGTTTGTTTGAGTTCTCGGGGTTTTAGATCTGTTTTCTGTTTTTCTTGGATCGGTTTAAATTACTATCTATTCATCATAACTCAAGCCTGAAAATCTTGGTCCCATAATCCGAAGATTCATGAGATTCAAACTTAAAACATTAAAATAGAGACATTTTGTCAGTGATCATCAGCCATACAATACGGTTAATATAGACACATTAGCACTTCGTTAAATTCTCAGCTCCTTTAATAAAAGGAGCTAAAAGGTTAAAGAAAATCCGTAAAGAGTGTACACAAACATAATTGGAAATAATAAGTACTAAATAAGTAAATTTTAAAAAAGAAAAACAAAATTCATTTGTAAAATCATATGATTACATTGCCAATAGCATGAACTACTCCTGCTTGTCACGAGCAGCCCTTGCACGATGTCTCAGTTCGGCTCTTTTCCATTTAACAATCAAGTAACACAAGGAGACGAGTGTATTGATCTGCAAATAGAGAAAGATACTTCAAGACAATGTTAAATATGAAACGAAAAAAACCACCAGCCACTGAATATCATAGAAATGACAAGATTATCACTGAAATGTTATGTGATGGAAAATACTAACCAAGATTATCATAGAAATGATAAGAAGAGGCCCCGACCAAAGAATCGACATAAATAGTCCACTGGGATCAAAGTAGTTCTGACCAGAGAAGCTTTTCCAGTTTTTCCCCAAAAATTTGTTCAAAGTCTCAGCAAGATATACACCAGCCACTGCATCAAACTATTTCTAGGTAAGACAAGATTCAAAAGATTTTAATAAAGAGATAAAAAGACCACCAAGCCTTTTCCCACAAGGGAGATTGAATACAATACAAGCGATGCAAACATCGTCATAGTGTCCTACTGTGGGAACAAATAGGAAAGTGACTAGAACTTTAGAAATATATGCAAGATGGGAAGCACACAAGGAGATAGGAAATATTGATAATAATTAAATCACAGACGTGGCAGGGATTATAAACAGTCCAATCGACACAAAATGTAGTAGTCACATAATGTTGATATAAAAGTGGAAGATTGATGATGTTCAAATGGTAAATAACTAGTCACATAAAACTGCATTGGTTGTCAACAAAGTTCAATGATACTAATCAAAGATAAATATTGCCGTCACTGGGTTAACAACTACAACAAACATTTTAAAATTTTAACAGCTGGCCTTTGAGATGGTATAGTGCTAGTGCATGTGCATCGTTTGCTCTTCATAACTAAATGGTTATGTTGGGTGTAAAACCATCCTTGGCATACCTTACAACTTAACCTTCCAGGGTAGTTAGTCTTGAACAATTTCCAAACCTAAATCTTCATTTTATTTATTTTAGTCTATTTATTAAGAAATCATCTAATTAAGGACACAGATGACTAATCATGATTCATATTGAAATGATATATTACTGTTTTGGCCATTGTAGATTACTATATTCAGCCAACTGGACACTAATACCATAAACATCAGCAAAATCTACGATAGCCTAAACAGAACCCAATATTATTATATTAAACAACCTTTGTCCTGCATCATCATCCTATGTTTAGGATTTAAATTTATAATGATCCTATACAAATCCTGCCCGCTAAGAATTTAACTAAATCTATCCCCAAAAAGAAATTAACTACTAATTGTGTCTCAGTTTTCAATATTACATAAAATTTCAGCCTTACATAAAACCTTTGTTACAATTATTGCCTTACCATTTTTATAACTTGATTTCTTTTTATAAGCACAAGGCAACAGATTTTTTAAGAAAATTTGTGTAAATTTTTAAACATATCACTTACATCAAAGTAGAATAAAATTCTCTAGACTCTACTGACTGAACTTTAAGTATGATTCAACTTTTCTGTTTTAAGAAAGATGAGTTCAGCACATGTAAGACTCATGCAGAGAATCAGACATCCCATATTTGCCACTGTTAAACTAGACAAGGCAAGAAACTTGCTAATACTATGACAGTCTAGAAAATTACATGAACAACTCTTAAGTGTCCTAAAACGTCGCTACTAACTTTCCAGCACACTGATTTGAATGTGTTGAACTTGAATATTCAATGGATTAAATGGGAACTTGATAATCCATCATCAAATTTCTCATTTTAAAAGAAATCTTGACATAATGATAAGAAAGGGCTAGATTTTGTCTCTCTAATTTGACAATAATAGGAAGTTTTCAATTATAAAAACATTAACAAGAAAAATGCTTTATATATGGATGAAGCCCAAAGCCAAACATAAAATTGGATAGAATTCCTCTCATTTTCACACAACTTCTGACAGTCATTTCACCCCTACCATAAAACAAAGGCAAGGCACAACTTTATTATCAGGAAGGATTGAAGGAAAGCAACAAAATCAATCAGGAAAATGAGGCTAGCTGCATCAAAAGTAATAGACCAGTTTTAATTTAGCCTAAAATAAATAAGGAATGCCACATACATGTCAAAAGGAACAAGAACATTTGAAAGTCCGTCTTCTTCCTAGAGATGATAGTTACAAGCACCAACACAGCATGGAATCCTACTAATCCCATTATCCAAGGTTCCTGATCAAAAAGTGAAAAGAAAAATTAGTAAACCAAAAGGGTGCCCATAGTACGAAAGTTCAGAAAAAGAGAAAATGATAAAGATTGAACAATCCGAGAACAGAACACACTGAAAAGTTAGGATTTGGAACCATATTAATGTTATATGTATGGTGCACTAAGATAGCAGTATATATATATATTTGAAATCTCAAGATATTCCTTCCAAGCACAAACATGAATTCTCTTCCATTGACCCTTTCTATTAAATTGACAAGACAAATGCTATCATATTGTTTATAACCTTCGATAGCTTTACAGATCCACAGTTTCCTGTATGCAACATTAAAATATCACAAAACAAGACACATTCATAGGCAAATAAAAGTCACTGACTACACCAAATTGAAAATCAAGCAATAGTTTTCATCCAATCATCCCCTCTTGTCACATTTCAATTTGAACATTTCTATTGAACAAACCCATGAGATCACCCGCCTATATTTTTTCCATTATTCCAATATCACCAAACACAAAATCTAAAAATAAATTTCATAAGATTATATCATTAAATACTACATTAGTACCGTCCACTTGCAACAGAGACTTTTCTATTCCCACTTTGCACTTCAAGTTCAAGGCTAGATTTCTCACACAGCCAATTAAAAATAAATGATAGTTGAAAACCAAAAACTAAAACAAAATACAATCAAACACCTTATCAACAAAATCCTTTAAGCATTAAGTTCATGTTTGTGGTCTATCGACATCAAACAATGAAATTAAGCATCACGAACAATAAAAATGCATATCAGTCACAATTTTAACAGACTCAAACAATAAGAACAAGATTATTCAATTTATTCACAACCACCATAATGTAAAATTAGTGAATTAGACAACAATACCAGGATAGAGACCACAACAACAACCATAATAAAGCACAGAGAACCTTTTGATTTGAAATTCATTCTCATCAGGAGAATTATTGGATCTATCAATCATGCTTTTGAAAGCCTCCCATCCATCCAGTAGATCTTTCTTTTAATTCAGATTTTGATAGGAACTAAACAATGAAGAAAGGAATTGGTTTGATTCAATCTAACACACACAGGAAAACTGAAAAATAACAAGACTAATTGCACTCTAACAAAATGAATCTAGTGTGTAACACCAACCTTGAATAGCAAATCTCACACACACAGGTTGATCGACTGTGTGTGGCTCGATTCTTAATGAACGAAACCATCTTATTCCGATATCAGTTGGATCAGAACCTATAAGATCGTCTTCCTAGTCATAAAAGGAAGCTCACAACCCAACATTGCAGCTGGCATTCAAGTAACTAATAAACCAATTGAAGTCCCCACAACCTCTTAAAATGCAGAGTATACCGATGTAGTAACCAAACCAGTATACACGAGATTATGACTACCATAAAAGATGAAACTGCCAAAGATCCACTAATCATTACATATCAACCAGTCCATACAATACGGTTAATTTAACTCTATATAATATCACAACCATGTCCCCCCGTAACCCACCCATCACACTAAAATTAACAAACCAAGCTACTAGAGTTGTTTATAGGTACTAATGATTCAATGCATTATGTTCCTCACGTTGACAATCATAAATACAAAACCCACAAATCTACAATTCGCTCAAGAACAAAGAACATGGACCTCAAATTGAAAACCGACAAATCCAAAATCAACAAAGAACCGAGGTGAAGAAAACCTAAATTGGAGGGCTACCTTCCAGTCAACGGCATGGATGAAACCCATAAAGTTATCGTAAGCGGGGCGAAAGCCAACACGAAGATCGGAGGAAAATTTCTGAACAAGATCTGCCATAAGCTCCATGTGCTCCTCCATAGCAGATTTTAGTTCCTCCATTCTAACACACTAACTTTTGTCTCACAAAACAATGTACTAGAAGATTCAACTCCCTGCTGCTACAACTGCAAGAGATTTTCTTCCGCCGTAACTTCCCAGTTCGTCAAAACTCCACGTGTGATTTTTTTTTTTCTTGAACCATTCTTTTCGGGCCATTTAGTGGGTCGGGCCCTGGTCATCCCTAGCAATAGCAGGGCTTTTGCCACCTGCACCTTCTTAAAATATCATCGTTAAAAGGTTTCAAATATACTTCTAAGTGCCTTTCATTCTAATGTATAGACACTTTTTATTCTAATTGGAACATGAGAAGTTATTTTCTAACTTCAATTTTAATTTAATTTTTTATTTAGAAATTTTAAATATGAAAAAATAGTTCTAAGAATATAAGTTAATCGAACATATGTCTAAAAATAACATTTTTTTATTATAATACTCTTGAAACTAAAACTCTATTATTTATTAGATATTCTGAAACACAAATTTTATAAAGGGTTGAATAATGTGTTATACTTTTTAAAATAATTATTAAATTCACAAAATTGTTTTTTGAAATACTAAAAACACGTAAATGAAGAATTATTTATTTTACATTTATTCACTGGGTTTAAACCATATCAAACTATCTTTCAATCTAAAAGTCTAGTTATTTTAATAAAAAACTTGATTACAAAATACTCTTTATGCCACTTTTATCTTGTAATAAGTATTTGTATGTAATTTTCACAGTCCTCAACCTAATCTTGAGATCAAAAATTGATAAAATGGTTCCTCCTATTGTAAATTTTCTTCACATGCTTAAGTGTTTTGTTTTCGCTGTTGTGTTATTTTTTTTCTCTTCTTTAAATACTTTCCACTTTATTTTTTTTTAATACACAAAATCAATAATTTTTTCTTTCTATTTTCTCTTCTTTAATTTTCGCTCCTTGCTCTTTATTTATGTCTCAACCTATTTTTTTAGTGTATGCTCTTATTCTTTTTTTCTTCTCATAGGTTCTTTTTCTCTTTTGGTTCTTCATGGATTCCAGTTGCAATTATAATATGGTATTAGAGCTCTTCTTTTGAAGAGCTTTGATGTGTCACTCTATCCTTCTTCCTTTCTTTTGTTCTTTTTTTTTTCTTCTTCTTGAATTCACTTGGGTATGTTCATTCTTTTCTTTTCAGAATGGTTGATGAACATTTCACACACAATTTCCTTTATCAGCATCCCAATGGAAATCCAACAACTTCTTTGGTTTCCCCGGGTCTTGATATGACCAATTATCATTCATGGAGTCGTTCTTAGATAACTACCCTTAATGTCAAGAATAAGCTTAAGTTTGTATTTGGGACTGTTCCTCAACCTCTTAAAGATGACCCCATTTTTTTTCGTGGAACAGATGCAACAATATGGTTGCATCTTGGCTGGTTCATTCGGTCTCTACTTCCACATGACAAAGCATAATTTGGATGAAAAATACTTCTGACATGGAATGATCTACTTCCACTTGGAAAACCATAATTTGGATGGAAAATGCTTTTGACATATGGAATGATTTAAAAAATCAATTATCTCGAGGTGACCTTTCTTGGATATCTAACTTGCAAATGGAAGTTGCGACTTTAAGCGAAGGAGATATCAGTATTTCTAAGTATTTCACCAAGTTGATGATCATATGGGATGAGTTGGACAAGTTCAAACCATAACCCATATAAGTTTGTAAAACTAAGTGTCCTTGTCAAGTTCTTTCCACCATCAATCAAAGAAAGAGGGAAGATCAAGCCATGCAACTTCTTCGGGGATTAAATGATTAGTTCAACAATATTAAATCTCATGTCTTACTGCTTGAACGAATGTTGCCTATCACCAAAATCTTCTCCTTTGTGGTCTAGCAAGAAAGGAAACATTCCAATGACCATGTCACTACTAATTTTAGAAGCAATAATTAAAGCATGATCATCGTTTCAAGAACTCCTGACACCACCACTTCCAACAGTTGCACCTACTGTGGCAGAATCGGTCATGCAAAGTCATTTTGCTACAGGAAGCATGAATTTCCCAACCAAGATGAAAAAGGTTTTAAAGAGCAAAATATTAAGAAAGTTTGCACTCATTGTGGCAAAACTAGACATACTATAAATGTCTACTATAATAAGCACGGATACCCCCGGTCACAAGCTATATAGTGGTAAATAGTTTCACGTTCATAATGTTTCTACTTAAGAGGACAATGGCAATGAAAATGATCATGACTGAATCAGAAGACATCAAACTCACACCTCAAAAAAATCAAATTTTTGTTGATCTTTTCAAGCAATCAGTTTACCACCAGTTCTCATGCTTGAATTAACCAAGTTGGTTCAATTTCCTCTCATCAAACATCCACTAGTAATATCAACTCAATTTTTCTTCCAAAATCTCATATGTTTGGATTTTTTACTTTGGGGCAATTGATCATATCATGGTTTCTTTAAGTAAGTTTTCTTCTTATCATCAAATTACTCCCATTTGTATCAGTTTTCCTAATGGAAACATTGTCTTTGCCAATTACTCTAGAACAATTATTTTTAATAAAAAATTACATATCTCAAAAGTCACTTCTTCCCTTTTTTTTATCTAACTTTGGAATTTTGGATGATGTTAAAATAGATGATATTGTTATTTCCAACTATGTTGTTAAAGATATCAACCTTTTGGCACTCAAGAATGGGACACCTTTCAAATGAAAGATTAAAGATTTTGCTAAATATATGTTTTGATTAACACTTTGTATATCTATGATGCTAGTCATCAGGCTAAACAAAGAAAGCTCTCTTTCAGTCTTAGCGTTTCCAATAATTTTGAAATTTGGATATGGATATTTAGAGACCGTGTTTCACTATTTTTATGAATGGTTTTAAGTACTTTCTCACTATTGTTAATGATTTCTCGTGCTTTACTTGACTCATTCCTTTAATTGATAAGTTTGTTGTTAGAAATCATGTCATTAGTTTTATCACCACTGATGAAAACCAATTTGATACTGTTGTTAAGGTTATTCAAACAGATAATGGTATAAAATTTGCTATGAGAGATTTCTTTTCTCAAAAAAGGATAATTTATCATACTTATTATGTTGAAACTTTTGAGCATAATGACATTGTTGAGAGGAAACACCAACACCTCTTCAATGTCACTCAGGCTTTGTTGTTTCAAGTGAATATTTCTTCCACTTCTTGGTGTTTTGTTGTTTAGCATGCTACATTACTCATAAATTGCATGCTTACACCCTTATTGCACAATGCCATGCCTTATGAAAAGTTGCATGGAAAATTGTTTGATCTTTCTGTCCTATGTATCTTTGGTTGTTTCTGTTATACTAACACTCTTTTTTCACACATAAAGAAGTTGGATTGTAGAGTTGCTCCTAGTGTGTTGCTTGGTTTTAACCTCACACAAAAGGTTATTTTTGTTCTAAATCTCCTAAAGCATAAAATTAACATTTCTCACAATGTTTGGTTTTATGAGAACAATTTTCCTTATAAGTATAATTCACACACCAATGAAGATGAAAATAAATTGCCCTTCCCTATTCCTCACAATTACAACCATAATTTTGATGATCTTACCTTTTCACATAATATGCCTGTTGATTTTGATAATTGTAACCACAAAAATAACAACATTGATAATACTAATAATGATAATCATGCTCACACTCCTACTTATTCTGACAATCTCACTGTTTTATAGCCTAGATGTTTTACTCGAGCCAAGAAACTACCTAATTATCCTCATGAGTTTCAAATTAATAATATCACCCAATATCACTATATTTTATATACTAATTTATCTTTTTCTTTTAAACATGCCATCTTTTCTTTTTCCTCTAACATTGAACCTTAAAATTACAATGATACCTATAAACACCCTCAATGGATGCAAGCTATGACTGATGAGCTTAATGCCTTGACTACCAATAACACATGGATTCTGACTACTCTACCTCCTAGAAAGAGTGTCATTGGCACAAATGGATCTACAAAATTAAATATCACTCAGATGACACCATTGATAGATATAAGGTCAAGCTTGTTGCCAAAGGCTATACACAACTTGAAGGTGTTGACTCTTTTGAAACATTTGCTCTTGTTGCAAATCTTACCACCTTTTGCCTATTTCTTGCTCTGGTTGACTCTAATGACTGGATATTGAAACAACTTGATGTTAACAATACCTTCCTCCATGATGATCTTCATGAGAAAATATACGTGCAGGTCCCCTGGTATTCCTATAAATGATTCCACACATGTCTATAAACTACAAAGGTCTCTTTATGGCTTGAAGTAAGCAGGAATATAATGGTATGCCAAACTCTCTAACATTCTTTTATCAAATTCCTATAAATGCTCTTCTAATTATCACTCTCTATTCTTGAAACATGATAATCACCACATCACTGCTTTACTCATTTACGTAATGATATCATACAAACTGGAATTTATGTTGAGGAAATTGACCAAATCACTACCCTTTTTCACCAACACTTCTGCATCAAGAACTTGGGTAACCTCACCTATTTCCTTGGTCTTTAAGCTACCTAAAATCACATAGGAGTTCATCTCAGCCAAAGAAAGTACACACTTGATATTTTACAAGAGATTGGAATGCTTGATTGTGCTCTTGCTGCCACTCCTATGGCTCAATCTTCTCATACACAAAGTCATCAGAATGGTCAACCTCTCAATGATGTTTATACCACAACTTATAGAAGGCTCATTGGTAGACTTATTTATATCACCTATCTTTGTCAATTTGTCTCCCAAACATCACTTTTTATGTCAACTATCTTTGTCAATTTGTCTCCCATCCTATTGATCTACATCAGCAAGCTACCAACTGGATTCTTAGGTATTTAGAAGGGACTCCTGAAAGTGGTGTTTTATTTCACAACAATAACTCACACCAGCTAAAATCTTATAGTGACTCGGATTGGGCGACCTGTCCTAAAACAAGAAAATTTTACAGGCTTTTCCATTTACCT